CACAAGGATAATCCACGTTGGCCCTGGATAAATACAGCCACAGCAGGTCATAAAGGACACCAAAATAATCTATAGTAACCAATTTGGCAAACATTTGTATAGTAGAAAACACAGACCTAATTCTGCTCTATTACCTATTAATTTTAAATTTGGCACTATAACCTAATCATATATTAATTCTGCTCTATAACCTAATCATATATTCTGCTCTATATTCTAATCATATATTAATTCTGCTCTATAACCTAATCATATATTAATTCTGCTCTATAACCTAATCATATATTAATTCTGCACTGTAACCTAATCATATATTCTGCTCTATATTCTAATCATATATTAATTCTGCTCTATAACCTAATCATATATTAATTCTGCTCTATAACCTAATCATATATTAATTCTGCTCTATAACCTAATCATATATTCTGCTCTATAACCTAATATATTAATTCTGCACTGTAACCTAATCATATATTCTGCTCTATAACCTAATCATATATTAATTCTGCTCTATATTCTAATCATATATTAATTCTGCTCTATAACCTAATCATATATTAATTCTGCTCTATATTCTAATCATATATTAATTCTGCTCTATAACCTAATCATATATTAATTCTGCTCTATAACCTAATCATATATTTATTCTGCTCTATAACCTAATCATATATTCTGCTCTATAACCTAATCATATATTCTGCTCTATATTCTAATCATATATTAATTCTGCACTATAACCTAATTATATATTAATTCTGCTCTATAACCTAATCATATATTAATTCTGCTCTATAACCTAATCATATATTCTGCTCTATAACCTAATCATATATTCTGCTCTATAACCTAATCATATATTAATTCTGCACTATAACCTAATTATATATTAATTCTGCTCTATAACCTAATCATATATTAATTCTGCTCTATAACCTAATCATATATTCTGCTCTACAACCTAATCATATATTAATTCTGCTCTATAACCTAATCATATATTCTGCTCTATAACCTAATCATATATTCTGCTCTATATTCTAATCATATATTAATTCTGCTCTACAACCTAATCATATATTAATTCTGCACTGTAACCTAATCATATATTAATTCTGCTCTACAGCCTAATCATATATTAATTCTGCACTATAACCTAATCATATATTAATTCTGCTCTATAACCTAATCATATATTCTGCTCTATATTCTAATCATATATTAATTCTGCTCTATAACCTAATCATATATTCTGCTCTATAACCTAATCATATATTAATTCTACTCTATAACCTAATCATATATTAATTCTGCACTATAACCTAATCATATATTCTGCTCTATAACCTAATCATATATTAATTCTGCACTATAACCTAATCATATATTAATTCTGCACTATAACCTAATCATATATTCTGCTCTATAACCTAATCATATATTAATTCTGCACTATAACCTAATCATATATTCTGCTCTATAACCTAATCATATATTAATTCTGCACTATAACCTAATCATATATTAATTCTGCACTGTAACCTAATCATATATTAATTCTGCACTATAACCTAATCATATATTAATTCTGCTCTATAACCTAATCATATATTAATTCTGCACTATAACCTAATCATATATTAATTCTGCACTATAACCTAATCATATATTCTGCTCTATAACCTAATCATATATTAATTCTGCTCTATAACCTAATCATATATTCTGCTCTATAACCTAATCATATATTAATTCTGCACTATAACCTAATCATATATTAATTCTGCTCTATAACCTAATCATATATTAATTCTGCACTATAACCTAATCATATATTCTGCTCTATAACCTAATCATATATTAATTCTGCTCTATAACCTAATCATATATTAATTCTGCTCTATAACCTAATCATATATTAATTCTGCTCTATAACCTAATCATATATTAATTCTGCTCTATAACCTAATCATATATTAATTCTGCACTATATTCTAATCATATATTAATTCTGCACTGTAACCTAATCATATATTCTGCTCTATAACCTAATCATATATTAATTCTGCTCTATAACCTAATCATATATTAATTCTGCTCTATAACCTAATCATATATTAATTCTGCTCTATAACCTAATCATATATTAATTCTGCTCTATACCCTAATCATATATTAATTCTGCACTGTAACCTAATCATATATTCTGCACTATAACCTAATCATATATTAATTCTGCACTATAACCTAATCATATATTAATTCTGCTCTATAACCTAATCATATATTAATTCTGCTCTATAACCTAATCATATATTAATTCTGCTCTATAACCTAATCATATATTAATTCTGCTCTATAACCTAATCATATATTAATTCTGCTCTATAACCTAATCATATATTAATTCTGCTCTATAACCTAATCATATATTAATTCTGCACTATATTCTAATCATATATTAATTCTGCACTGTAACCTAATCATATATTCTGCTCTATAACCTAATCATATATTAATTCTGCTCTATAACCTAATCATATATTAATTCTGCTCTATAACCTAATCATATATTAATTCTGCTCTATAACCTAATCATATATTAATTCTGCTCTATACCCTAATCATATATTAATTCTGCACTGTAACCTAATCATATATTCTGCACTATAACCTAATCATATATTAATTCTGCACTATAACCTAATCATATATTAATTCTGCTCTATAACCTAATCATATATTAATTCTGCTCTATAACCTAATCATATATTAATTCTGCTCTATAACCTAATCATATATTAATTCTGCTCTATAACCTAATCATATATTAATTCTGCTCTATACCCTAATCATATATTAATTCTGCACTGTAACCTAATCATATATTCTGCACTATAACCTAATCATATATTAATTCTGCACTATAACCTGAGATCACAGCACAAATGGCAGATTGGTCAGGAATGGTCAGCTAAATGTACACAAATATGCAGGTCATACAGGCATGTGAAAAAATAAGTACACCCCATGGAAACTATTGAATTTTTTGACATACAGTGCCCTCCACTAATATTGGCACCCTAAATAAATATGAGCAAAGGGGGCAATACTACATTCTGAGGCCAAGGGTGTACTAACTTTTTCCCCAGAACAATATACCATCTATTGATATTAGAATAAATGTAGAATAAATTATTGAAAAAGCTAATTGTTTCAAAGATGATCAAATATTTGCTTGTCCAAATATTTCTAAAAAAAAAAACCCAAAAAAAACAAACAAAAAAAAACAATAATTTCCATGGGGTGTACATATTTTTTCACACGACTATGTAAGGCTGGTGTAGTACACTTCACAAGGGAGGCTATATTTTGACTTAAACCTTAAATCGGATCAATGGCCATAATCTGTTTGCTATTTTCATCACAGCCAATTAACCACCTGAAAACTCTCTCACTCACTCACTCATTCACTCACAGTAATTGCTTTATCCTGGTCTGAGCCTATCCGGGTAACACTGGGAGCACGGCTGAAGAATTTACCCTGATGGGATACTAGTCCATCTCAGGGCACTATGGGCCATTATCTCATTCACTAGGGCCAAGTCAGAGTAGCCAATCCACTTACCTGCATGTTTATTGGACCCTGGGAGAAAACCCAAGAACTCGAAGGAAACCCATGCACACACAGGGAGAACATGCACAAAAACACCAAACAGACTGTATACTTGTACTTCAAGATGAAGTCTACATATATTCCTTATTATTTTCTAAATCATGTAAGTAAATACTGCAATGGATTGGCACCACGTCCAGGGTGTACCCCACCTTGTGCCCCATGCTCCCTGGGATAGGCTCCAGGTTCCCTGTGACCCAGTAGGATAAGCAGCATAGAAAATTTATGGATGGATGGATGTACGTAAATAACTGAATTATCATACATTTCTTGGGTTCGTTTTCCAGAGTAAATAGAATGGTCCAGCTGGTAGCTGGTAATAAAAAAAAACATACCATGCATCATCTCCAAAACAGTCAGGCTGAAGAGTTCCTGCAGGACTCGGAGACAGAGTCTTCCTTCACACAACAGCACCGGTCTCCTTTCATCCGTGTACACATTTTCAGACAGCTGCGTCTGAAGGGCAGAGAAAAAGAAATTGCTTCAATGTGGACTTCTTGCTATAATTTCCCATGGTGCACGTGCACAAGCAACAGGAAGTGTCTGAAAATAAACAGGCCATGTGTTTTTCCTATTTAACTATTCTATATTATACACAGTGCAATACATATTATGCTCTATCTTTACCTACATTAATACTACTCACATGAGACAAGCAAAATTAGTCAGCTCAACCTACAATCTAGTACGTAATAAACTCACGGCATGTGAAGAATAACAGTGTATTCTCACCGAATTGCCTTGTTAAAAGATACTGTCTAGGTGTTCCTAATAAACTGGCAGCTTAGTGCAGATTAAGTCAGGAGTGATCGCTTCAGAAAATTCCTTTCGAGGTCAACAAATTCACTCCACAAAAAAGAACTGCAAGGCCCCCCTATAGTGTATAAAGATAAACATTTTCTGTTTGACTTATGCAGTAAATCCTTTGATGTTGTGTTTTCTAGAACATTCCAGATAGGCTTGGCTGATACGGCAAAGATATAATCATGATATCTGTTTACATAACCAAACTACTAAGATTGCAACTACAATTATATATTTCACTTAATGTAAAAACCACAAGAGCGAAGATGACAAATGAAACATGCATCGAACGTTTAATCAGTTACTTGTTACGAACCCAGGGCACGAGGCGGGGGACACCCTGGACGGGGTGCCAAACCATCACACGATACAACTGCACAAACACTCACACACTACGGACAATTTAGAAATGCCCATCAGCCAATAACGTACGTCTTTGGACTGGGGGAGGAAACCGGAGTACCTGGAGAAAACCCCCGAAGCCTTGGGAGAACATGCGAACCTCATGCACACAGCGTGGAGGTGGGAATCGAACCCCCAACCCCTCAGGTGTGAGGAAAACATGCTAACCACTAAACCCCATCCCTGAATTCAACCATCTGTTAAAAAAACAAACAAACGAAAAAAAGTTACTGCACTGTTGTCATACCTGACATGTAACATGGACATACTGTGGTTCACAAGCAGGTGGGTAGCTGCTCATGAGCTTTTTCCCATTCTGGGTGAAGTCTTTGAGTTCTGACAGGCACTGCTGCACCTCTGCAAAGCGAGAAAATATCCTCTCCATGTTGTGTGCGAGTTGTTCGAGGTTGTTCTCTTTTGCCAGACACTGTTGCTGACTGTTCTTCAGCAGAGGAGAATCAGAGTGCAGCTTTTCTGATGCTGTGTATCGCGGGGAAGACGGTCGAGTGGATTCTCGGCTGGCTATGGCTAGAGTAGTCATGCGATCGACATGATCCATATCATAGTTTTCCAGTGTGATGGAGGAGGTGCTGGAAGTGGCTCTGTCTGAGAAGTCGGCTGAGCTTGACTCTGAGGTACACACTTCCTCAATTAGCTTCTTCCTGATATTTGATGGCAGATTTACCGATCCCCCTGGAAGAACAAGGTCCTTCAGGGCAAAATCTTTAGCATAGGTCTCTGAATGACGCCAAGGCTCATGGAGATCGTTCGGCGACTCAGGCTTCTGGACAACTGGGGAAGTTGTGCCCTCGTCAAACACCAGCTCCTGAGCTACAAGCCTGAGGATGTATTTGTCCGTGTTGGAAGACGGAAGGAAGGTTGGGTCGTTGGACTTCTGTCGGCCAAGCATGACTAGGATCTTCTTACTGCTAAGGAAGCATAAGCCTTTAGGTCTTTCGTTCTTCTGCAGGTGGATCTGTTGAACATTGGGCATGGAGGATGCCATGATGGAGTAGACTAACATCACACTGCAGGTATTGGATGCCACTGCGACTGTGTTTCCTTGTGGGTCAAAGGCCATGATGTCAGGGACCAGAATACCAGGGATGCTTACTTTCCTGGTAGTCGTGACCTTTCGTTCGTACTTGACCAAAATGAAATGTGACGAGTCTTGACCCGATCCTGTCAAATGATCTCGCTGCCTCAAGTGAATCAAAGGACTAGGGTCTGACATTCGGTGTTTCGCCAGAATGTGTGTAAGGTCAGTGGGGCCAGAGGAAGAAATGAACCCTAAAGGTAGTAAACGCTCCGAGTCAAAGGACCTTCTCCTGGATTCTGAGCAAGCATCTTCTGACATTACAGCAGAAGACTGACGAGAAGACAGTGGCTTTGATTCATTCGGCAAGTCAAAGGCAATACCTGCATTAAGCCCACAGATTTTATCTAGCGGTAGTTCAGTTGTAACAGCCACCTGAGCCTCATCGATAGACTCCATGGCACAGATATAGCCTCCAACATCAAAAACAGGGCAAAACGAACACGCAACCAGACTTTTCTGGATGTCGTTCCATATATAAGAGTGAAGAGCGCTGCCGATGGCAACCACTAGTCTTGTTCCGTCTTTAGTCCAGCATGCACAGTGGATCAGACCGCTGCCACGGATGTCTGCCTTCACTCGTCGATTATCCACACGCACCGAGAACAGCACCGAGGCATCCTGCTTAGTCAAAATCGCCAGGATGTCTTGTTTGGGGTGCCACACACAGCCATGAGACAGCAGTGGGAAAGGCTCACTCATTTCACACGTCTGGGTGCACAGCAGCTTGTTCTGCTCGAGGGCACTCAGCTGAAGCTGCCACACCGTCACGTGCTTCTTGTGCTGCACCGCGAGCAGAGCAGGAGACCCCGAACAACACAGAGGTCCCCAGAAAAGTCCCAAGACATGTTCAAACTGTCCAATCACATTAGTGTCGCCAAATTTAGGCTCGCCGGCAACATAGTAGAACGAGGTAAGGCAAACCTGCCTCCCATCCGTCCAGGCTATCCCATGCACGGGATGAACGGCTTGGAGCAGTGTATTGAGTCCCGTCCTCGGAAGTTTAGCTTTTCCTAATTCCATGCTTGTTAGGTCTGTCAATTGAAAAGATTTTGAGAATTTTGATCAATTGAGATAACGGAGGGTACGGAGATATCAACATATATACTGCTACAAGATGGTACTGAAAGAGAGCTCAGCAAGGTTGAGTATGATGTTCACTCAGTATACTTAACCCCCCCCTTCTGAACCGTGCAATCCCTAATCCTGCTCAGGGATGACCTGATTAATCTGACATGACCCTTTAAGATTACTACTTTCAAGCAAGATTAGCCTATTCTAAATTGATCATTTGGTGTTTATCATTTTAGGCAACTGCATTACACTTAAAAAGAAATCGTTTACACGAAAGAAAGAAAGAAAGAGAAGTTGATTACACAAACATTGAACTAGTTAGCCAGCATGCCAGCTACTCGTGTTTACTCCGGTGCGTTGCTAAGTAGCACGTGTCCAAACAACAGTTGCTATTAGAAATTCGAATTAAAGCTCGCAAATTAGATTGCAATATTATATAACATAAACGTTACAAGATACTGTACTGTTTGTGCGTGATATAATTAAAACATACCATCGTTATTTTGCAACAAAGGCAAACTAAAATACCACCAGAATTTACTTCGGGTTATGTTTCCACTCGGACATATTTAAGGTATTGGACAAACGGAAACAAGTTAGTGCAAAGGCATTGTGGGAATTTGTGTCTTTTTCCCCCCTCTTAAATGACTGTGTGCATAGTACTGTATAACAGACTGCTAAATGATTCTTACACTGTTTCTTTTTCTAATAATGTATACTAGCAGTACGTTGACTATTCTTCCTTTTCTTCCTCCTCATTTGTTTACTTATTTAGTGTTATTGGCGTTTGGTGACTGATTAGTCTAGTTTTAAAGCAAATAATTTAAAATTTAAATAAAATGAAACATGCAGTTCTAAGTTTTCAGTGAATTCAGTGAAGCTTAGAGAGTGGATTTTATTTAAAAAAAATTTTTTACGTTTATTTGTTTGTTTGTTTGTGTTTACTTAACTCTTTCATGTACAGTGTCCACACTTGTAGACAGTCAAAATATATGTTAAAATATATATGGGGGTAATTTTAACATCTTATGTATCCTGTTCAAAAGTGTACACCCCCTTTGCTCTTAATGTATCATGTTACCTTCTTGAGCATCAGTGAATGTTTGCACCTTTTGTAATAGTCGTGTACGAATCCCTCAGTCCTCCTCAGTGTGAAAAGATGGAAAGAGTTTAAATATACAGAATATGATGAAAAAGTAAAGAATGTGCAGGACCTGGAGGATTTTTCTGATTAACAGTGGGCAGCTTAACTGCTCAGGACAAACAAGGGACTCATGAACAACTCTCATAAAACATAAAAACAGTCGTGGATCATCCAGGTGACGACACACAGTATTAATAATGAAGTGTACGTAAACTTTTGAACTGGTTCATTTGTGTAAATTCAGTTATTATTGTGTCTTGTGGACTAGATGTAAACACCTGTTATGTGAAATAACTTATTCATTGCAGAACAAAAAAAATCATGTAATTTTTTATGATAATCTTATTTTTTTTTAAATTAGAACATTTTGCAGATTCTGCAAGGTGTACACAAACTTTTGATATACATATATACATGTTTTAATAGTTCTAAATGATATTTTGAAAAAGCCAACATTCATATGCCATGCAATATCTGAAAACAAAATAAAACAAAAACAAACAAACAAACAAACATCTAAAGAATCTGGGTATGTTGTTTAAATAATGTATGTGCAGTATAAAAGGGTGAAGTGAGTAGGGGTGAGTCACTCTTCATAGCAGTGATTATTATTATTATTATTATTATTATTATTATTATTATTATTATTATTATTATTATTATTATTATTATTATTATTGTGATTATGATGATTAGTATTATTATCATTATTAGCATGATTATGATGATGATGATGATTATTATTGTTATTATTATTATTATTATTATTTTATTATTGTGATTATGATTATTAGTATTATTATCATTATTAGCATGATTATGATTATTATTATTATGACTATTATTATTAGAATTATTATTATCATTACGATTATTATTATGTTATTATTGTGATGATGATGATGATGATGATGATGATGATGATTATTATTATTAGTACGGTTATCATTATTATTATTATTATTATTATTATTATTATTATTATTATTATTATTACTATTATCACGATTATAATTATGATTATGACTATTGTGATGATAGTATTATTATTATTATTGTTGTTGTTGTTATGATTATTTATTGTTACTGATGTTGTTCTGATTATTTTTGTTATTGTTGTTATGATTATGGTTCTGGAGCGGAGTGCAGGCTGCGTTCTCACCGCTGGGCGGCTCTCAGTGGGCGGAGTGCAGCTCCCCCCCCCCCCACGTCCTTCACCAGCACCACTCAACTCAGCGTACCTGCTCCTCTCCACTGCTCAGTTCCACTCAGATAACCACAGTATATCGCCATGGGTGTAGAAGTTGAGACGATATCACCAGGCGACGGTAAGTGACTCTATAATAACAGCACAACAGATTTTTGTAGCCATTTCTGACACTAGACAGCGTTACAGCGTTACTCTTACTGTAACAGCCCGAGATCTGAGACATGACCCTTCTCCTGCTTACTCTGTAGCTTCTATAGCACTCCTTCATCTCACTCCTTCATCTCACTCCTACATCTCACCCCTTCATCTCACTCCTTCATCTCACTCCTTCATCTCACCCGTTATCTCAATAACAGTTCCATCTAAACTGCAGCGACTGAATGGTCCAGAGAATTAACCAGACACACTAAATGATCAAGAAAGCTAGAAGCTGTTGCTATCCTCTATTAGATTATCCACTTCCGTTCTTCCATTGCTCACGGAATTGGCTTGATTGGGGAGGAGAATGAGGGCTGGAGCAGAAATATGATGCTGTGTTAATGTAGAGGGATGGCTCCGGCTGGTCTGGGCTAGACAGCAGCTTTACAGACTAATCCTCAGATCAACACTTACCCAAGACTCTGAAGGATTGATTTGTATTTATTTATTTATTTTGTCTG